CAACCACTTTAGATTGGTGGTTGATAAATGGTAATACCAACATACACTTTTGGGGTCACCAATATAATGTGGTCTGAAACCCAGTTTTTAATATAAATGATTTTCTGTAATATTGTGATATTCCTTATATATATCTTAAATTTGCTGCCTAATTTAGAGTGAATTCTGTTTTCAAAAAATTTTAGAGTGGATTCATATTTTAAGAAAAAGTAGATATGAGTATATATTTTTACAATTCTAGTTAGGTATGGAAGTCGAATACATAAATACGAAATAGAATTAATCTTACTTTTGGTCCCACAACTTTTGATATTCTATCATTTTTGGTGCTCAACTTTAAATTTTTTTAATTTTGGTGCCTAACTTTGTTATTTTTATCAGTTTTGGTCCTTTCGGTCAAATTGACAGCGAAATGTTGCTGGATTTTATATTGTTAGGGGTAAAATTGTCATCCCAAGGAAACATCTTCAATATCTAAACAAAATCACCATAAAATCATACCTATAGGTGTTTGATGATGAGAATAATGGGGAAGATGGGCAGAAACCAGACAGATCTATGGGATTTATAGTTTCGACCATTGGCAAACTCTTCTTTTCCTCTTAATATGATTTTTCTTTTGTTTAAATATTGAAGATCTTTCCATGGGATGCCGATTTTGCCCCTAAAATATAAAATCCGGAAATATTTTATCGTTAATTTGGCTGGAAGGACCGAAACTGATAAAAATAACAAAGTTAGGCACCAAAATTGAAAAAATTTAAAGTTGTGCACCAAAAGTGATAAGAACTCAAAAGTCGTGGGACCAAAAGTGAAATTAATTGATCAAAAGCATACTTTTAGTAAAAAAAATATTCGTGATATTTTTTAAAAACAAATAATCTTTTAAAATGTACTAAAAATTAAATGCTTGTGGACAAAATTTTAAGGGAAAAATTCATCAATATAAACTTATAAAGTAGTTGATGATTACACAAAAATGTAGCCATTTAATTCACACGTTACGATTCATCAATAATCTTCTTCTTCTCCCAAAAGATTGAATCCCCAATCCTAAGGTGTGCCCCACAACTCGGTCCGATAGAGCATTTGGGAATATGTCCACTTTAGACATAATCCCCACACTGCCGTTGTCAAGATTTAGTTCAAACTTTGGTCTGTTCTCTCAAATACTGCCTATTGAACCAGTAAGCTAAGCCCTCGAGATGGATATTAGTCATTTATTTCATTGAGAAGTTTTATAATTTGGTCCTCCAAATTTTAGCATAGTTGGAATTTTGACACTAATGTTTTTGTTTGGGAGAAAAACAAGTCCTCTTTGTGGTCTTATGACTTAATTAAGTTTGTTGCTTAGTGACATAAGGTTTAATATAAACTACTATTTATCCCCGTGCGATGCACAGGAAATATGTTGTAAAAATGGGCGTTTATTTTAAGATAAGCCAGAAGAATCAAGTAGGAACAATATATTTGTCCCTGTGCGATGCACGTCATAAAATTTAAGTAACTTTATTGTTGATAATATTTTTAAAAAGAGTTAATACCTAATATAGTCCTCGAAGATTTACATTTATCCGTGGATCTTAATAAGGGGAAGAAGAAGGAACCATTTTAAATGGGATGAAAGATGAGAAATTTTCATTAGGACTCTATTTCTAACCGTTAATTAACAGAATTTTTAACAAAGGACTAAATTGTGAAAAATCATCAAAGTCGATGATTAAATTGAGTACAAAAAGTCATTTAGGAATAAATTGAGTAAAACTGATATAGTCGATGACTATTTTGGGTATTAATTCTTTTAAAAAATGATAAATCAAACATTAATGATGAAAATTTATTTTGAAATGTATTTTTCTTTAGCAATACTAAATTGGTTTTTATATTGAACATTATCACTTACTATTAACATATATTATATATTATAAAGTATTGTGTTATTAGATACCACATGTGATAGACAGATAGTTATGAACAGATACTACATTGTAACATAGTGGGTAGTACTAAAAAAACGATATCACATGAGATTTGAAAAAATTGACATTTATTCAATTCAAACTATATACAATAAATTAGAAAATCAAATTATATACAATAAATAAAGGATTTTTTTATTTTCTCATGAGAAAATATAAATGATATTTCAAAATTAGAAAAGTATGAATACTCGTGCTCCTTTACAACCATTTAATGAAATTGAATGTTGTTTAAGAAATTAAAGTTTATTATATATGAAATATCAATGATTATTATGTGGTATTTAAATAATCTACAAAATAACATTTTTAAGAACAAATCTTATTTTATAAATATATGCATATTAATTAAGATATAAATAATTAAATATATAAAAAAAATTAAAATTTTATTCAAAAATTTAAAAAGTTATTACTATAATAATTACTATATATATATATATATATATATATATATATATATATATATAATAATAATAATAATAATAATAACAGTAACTGATATTATATTCTTCTTTTACTCAAATTGTTACATTACATGAATTACATGAATCTATTTATAAATTAATATGAATACAATAAATGTTTTCACATTTGGAGGGAAAATTTTTGTGACAATTACTTTGCTTTAATATATATAGAGATAGAGATATTATAAAATATTGTGTTATTAGATACCACATGAGATAGTTATGAACAGATACTACATTGTAACATAGTGGGTACTAAAAAAACGATATCACATGAGATTTTAAAAAATTGACATTTATTCAATTCAAACTATATACAATAAATTAGAAAATCAAATTATATACAATAAATAAATGATTTTTTATTTTCTCATGAGAAAATATAAATGATATTTCAAAATTAGATAAGTATGAATACTCGTGCTCCTTTGCAACCATTTAATGAAATTGAATGTTGTTTAATAAATTAAAGTTTATTATATATGAAAACATCAATGATTATTATGTGGTATTTAAATAATCTACAAAATAACATTTTTAAGAACAAAGCTTATTTTATAAATATTTGGATATTACTTAAGATATAAATAATTAAATATATACAAAAAATTAAAAATTTATTCAAAAATTTTAAAAGTTATTACTATAATAATTATTATAATATATATATCTATCTACATATATAATAATAATAATAGTAACTGATATTATATTCTTCTTTTACTCAAATTGTTACATTACATGAATTACATGAAACTATTTATAAATTAATATGAATACAATAAATATTTTCACATTTAGAGAAATTTCTTTTGGGAATTACATGAATCTATTTATAAATTAATATGAATACAATAAATGTTTTCACATTTGGATGGAAAATTTTTGTGATAGTTATTTTGCTTTAATATATATAGAGATAGAGATAGTATTATTATTATTATTATTATTATTATTATTATTATTATTATTATTATTATTATAATAGTAATTATTGTAATAATAATTGGCTAATAAGATGATTCCGTATTTTCGTGTTGTTATTAAGGCTGGTTTTACGTTTTGTATTAATGTTGAGTTAATTTAAATAATTTAATTAAGGGTGATTGAATTTAATTAGGATGATTATTTGTAATACTAAATATATAGGTTGATTTAATTTAAATGATTTAATTAAGAATTATTTAATTTAATAAAAGCTGATCTAATTTAATTAAGAATAATTATTTATAATACTAAATATATATTCTGATCTAATTTAAATGATTTAATTTATTTAAGGATGATCAATTGTAATACTAAATATATATATGGTGATTTAATTTAATTAAGGATGATCATTTGTAATACTAAATATATATAGGGTAATTTAATTTAAATAATTTAATTTAATTAAAATACTATACTATAATAATGAATTATTATTACTGTAATAATTACTATAATAATAATAATAATTAATATTATATTATTCTTTTACTCAACATGTTAAATTACATGATTTTATTTATTAATTGGCTAATTCGTTGTTGTTGTTGTTGTTATTATTATTATTATTATTATTATTATTATTATTATTATTATTATTATTATTATAGTAAATAGTAATAGTAATTATAGTAATAATAATTTGTTAAGGCTAATAAGATCATGTGAACTATTATTACTATAATAATTACTATAATCTATATATATTTATCTATATAATAATAATAATAATAATTATAATAATATATTCTTCTTTTACTCAACATGTTAAATTACATGAATTTATTTATAAATCTATACTATATATAAAAACAAAATCCTGCAATTTTAACTTCCCGCCCAATTCCTAAAAAATCTCTCTTCCTAATAAAATATATTGATTTCTACTTTCCTATTCGTACCAAAATTCTGGGTTAAAATTCTATCCTAATATTATAAAATACTCTAATATAATTCCTATTGTAATCTATCTATCCATCTATACATCTATACTATATATAAAAACAATACAAGAATACTTAATTATTGTTATATTATTATTGTGCCTCACGGCCATTATATACTAACAGAAAATAAACTAATAATAATAATATAAGTGATAATAATAATATCTAAAAGTAATTAAGTGTTAATAATAATAGTAAGAATTATGATATAGAATAAATCGTAATAATTAATAACTATTGTTTAGGATTAAATTTTGAATTTTCAAGAGATAAGCGACCTCTGGTGAAATTAACTCTTAAATAATTATATATCGATTTATATATTCTTAATATATTACAACAATTCCATTACGTGCATCGCACAGGAGAAAATACTAGTTAATATGAATACAATAAATGTTTTTATATTTAAAGAGAAAATTTTTGAGAACTACATGAATCTATTTATAAATTAATATGAATACAATAAATGTTTTCATATTTGGAAGGAAATTGTTTTGGACAATTATGTAATATGTATGGAGATTACATGAGAAAGAAGGTTGGTCCGGTGAGTTGACTTGACCAAGAATTTCCGGTAAAGTTACCTCTCTCTCTCCAACGCCTTCTTTTTCTTCTCTCTTTTGCCTCCCACCTTCCAAGTCGCAGTAGGGACCTCTTCTCCCTCTCTCTCTCTCTCTCCTTCTTTACTGCCATTGAAAAAACTGTATTCTCCACTCTCTGTTCCATTCTATATATAGCCCTTACATCTTCTCCCCCTTTCAACCTTTTTCTTTTCTCTCTGCGTTTCACCTTCTCTCAATCACTCTTCTTTCTTTCTTTCTGCATTTTACGAGGCAGTGCCGAACAATGTCAGCTTTCAGGGAAGACGATCCACGTATCGACGGCATTCAATCCAGAATCCGCGTCGTCCCTCACTTCCCTAAACCGGGTAACTCCAAAGCCTTTATATGGGGGGTGAGAAAAACTGAAAAGACTTGTGTGTGTATATTTGCTTACCCGAAAGACAGAATCTTTTCCAGCTTTGACAACGAATGTCTGTAAAAAGGGATGTTTTTTTTTTGGTTTGTTATTATTATTTGTGTGTTTCAGAGGATGTTTGATGGTGGGATTAGTTTAGTATTTTAAAATGATTGGTTAATTTTATTCTTTCTTTCGCAGGAATAATGTTCCAAGACATCACTACACTGTTGCTGGATCCCAAAGCCTTTAAAGACACCATTGATTTGTTTGTCGAGCGCTACAAAGGCAAGAATATCTCCATAGTCGCCGGTATGTAGTGTTGCTAGATTTAATTTGCTTTTAACCTTCCATCCAACCAAGGGAGAACAAAAAAATCCAATCTTTTACATTAAATATGCATTTACTAGGTGGTCCCATTAGCACACACACAAAAAAGACTGAATCTTTAGGGGTTTATCTTTTCTTTTTTGCTTTTGGGAGGGGAGAGTGAACTGGTTAGAGTCTGGGGAAGGAAAATTCTTGAATGGACTTAGTTTGGGTAGGCTAAAAATGGATCTCACTGCTTCATTGAAGCCTTAAAAGCTATAGATATATGTTGGTTTTTGAAAGAAAATGGTTTTCCTGTATCAATGTGGAAGATACAATGGTTTTTAGAGTGGCAAGGGGGTCTGATTATTGAATATGATGGTGGTGAGTTAATGATGATGAAGACTACTTTCTGGGATTTTAATGGCTGAGTGTTCAATCATCAATGGGGGCATGTGCTTAAGTCCCAAATGGGTTTTTAGAGGGGTTGGATGGTGGTGGTTAGTGATGGATAGATGATCACATTGCTGAAATAAGGGCGTCGGGCCCACAAGCCCCGGGGGGTTTGATCTTTTACCTTCTTCCCTTTAACCTATGTTGTAGTTGTTTCAGAGTTTCACCCTTGGATCGAGCCTCAACTTGTTTGTTTTTTTTTTTTTTTTAATCATGATTTGTGATTATATTTGTGGCATTGGGGTTTCTCGACGAATGATGATGATGATGATCAATTATTGCTAGGGAGATTGTTTATGGAGGACAGAGTCCACTACAATCAGTAGGTTCTTTGTCCTTTTCACTGTCAAGTGGTGTGTATTATGCATTTCGGTTCTTTTCTACTGTGCTTTTGTTTTCAAGACTCCATTTTTAATACTTTACAAAAAAACAGCAATTTCCCGCCCCCCCCCCCCCCCCCCTTCCCATCCCTCGTGTTTCTTAGCCGTCTTTTCAATATCTTAATTATCTTATTTTCGTCATCTCGTTTCCTCTGGACACCAGCAGGAGTCTTTTGTTCTGTTTCCTAGAAGTTAAAGATGATGATGAGAGAGCTAATACGTATAATTCTTAAACTTTTGTCCTTATATTTGTGTATTGGACAGTTCGGGTCAGTCTTGTGTTCAAGGAACCTCAATATAATATGAAGAGTTGGTGACGAGAGAATATATATATATATATATATATATATATATATATATATATAGCAGCATATACCCCAAAGAATTGATAATTGATGTTTAATTGGTATGATATCCTATTAGGTGGGACCCTGTAATGTTTGGATTTCTGAAAATCATGCTCGTTTGATCTTGATATTACACTTGAATGATAGAGAATAACGTTTGTTTTAACGAAGTGTTATTGCACGTATTTGCTGCTTGTTTTGTTATGCTAGGAATTGAGGCTCGAGGGTTTATATTTGGTCCGTCAATTGCGTTGGCAATCGGGGCGAAATTTGTTCCCTTGCGCAAGCCGAAGAAACTGCCAGGTATATATACATATCGTGTTGCATTACCTAAGACCTTAAAGTCTTTAGCTTTAACATTGTTATTATGTTTTCGCTATTGCAGGTAAGGTTATCCGACAAGAGTATGACTTGGAGTATGGAAGCGATTGTCTCGAGATGCATGTCGGGGCAGTAGAAGCCGGAGACCGGGCTTTGGTGGTCGATGATCTGATTGCTACGGGTGGCACTCTCTGTGCAGCTATGGATTTACTCGGTATGCTTTCTAGTTTCTACCTTATTGGTTGGGTTGAAATAACAATTTTGCATCTTTTTAAAATGCACGAGCCGTCTAAAGTGCTCTATGGAACATTCTTGAACGACATCATGGTTCACGATTTATGGTTAATGTTTCAAACTATGTTTGATACCCTCGAGATTCAGCAAGAGTTTTGTTATTTCACAGAGCGTGCTGGGGCTGAAGTGGTCGAATGTGCATGCGTGATCGAAATTCCAGACCTAAAGGTGCGTTTATTTTTCTATTGTGTTTTCGTCACTGAAACTATTACGATTGTGCATATACTTTAAATAAGATCGAGTTAACAATGCTGTCTAGTAATATATCAGGAACCCGGTTTTGTGTTAGCATTAGGCTACCTTATCCTTCAAAGTTATGAAAATTGAAACATGTGCTCCATTGGTTATATGCTCAACACATCCCCTCATGTGTGCTTTACCTCAACTAAAAACTTAAGCTGATAGTTGGATTGCAGATTAATGGTTATATGCTCAACACGTCCCCTCATGTGTGCTCTACCTCAACTAAAAACCTAAGCTGATAGTTGGATTGTACATTAATGGTTATATGCTCAACAATGAAGCCTAAATCTCGAGAATTGAGATGATAGAAACTGCATTATTATATATACATGATAACGAAATGCCTATTTATTAAGGACATGGAAAACTGATGACATTCCTGTACTACATAAGACATCCCATTGTTTGAATTGGGAATATAATGTTTTCTCAAATTTATTAACATTAATTAAAACTTCCTCGTAAATCCTCATCATATCGAAGCTATAACACAGTACAGTATCTGTCAAAAATCCTTGCTTTCTTGCAGAAAACTGACACTTCTCGCCCGTCGTTTTTCATGAATCTTTGTGTTCTTGTTCTAGGGCCAGGAGCGGTTGAATGGGAAGCCGTTGTACGTTCTGGTGCAAGAGAAAAAACTGTGATTAGAGAGGGGCTGACTGTAATATTGTCTGCAGATTTCTTTCATTGTTTTCCTGGCTCTCTCTCTCTCTCTCTTTCTTGCATACATCCCTGAGTATGGATTTTCGAAGACCTCAAATCTGTGTTTTACAGAATTCGTTTTTACATTACATTATATGATGATGATGTAGGACAACATTGGATATGTTGGTGAATGTTTTTTAAGAACAAATTAAACATCCTCAAAGTATTTTTCCAGTTTCATGTTAACTGTTTTTCTTGGTTCATCCTTTCATGGATTATTTGTTTTGCAACTTCTCTGTCAAGGGACGAGTTAAGTTTGAGATTAAACAAATGTCTGGATATTTATTCTATCGATTTATGGTTTAAATGGAAAGATTTGAGAATTTAATTTGTTAGGATGAAGATGCAGCTTCTATTTTATATCATATATGGAAAGTAAGAAACAGAGCTCTCTGGGATGTCTGTCTACTGTTGTCAAAGAAGGTGCTTGTGACAGTTATGGCCACTATGCAAGCGTGGAACACGCTCCACCACCGAATGCCCATATCAGCCGCAAGGGGTCACCACACGGCCGATGGAGCCGGTTACGCCGCACAGCAGATTAGCCTCCAGCCAGTGGTCTTCGTTGTGGCCGAAAGCATGCATCAACCGCCGCTGTCACGATCCGGCCAGCCCGCGGGAACACCAAGACCCAGGAGATGCTTCATGGATGCAAGCTATCACCAGGATACCAGCTCAGCAGCGGTGGGGGCGGTAATACTAGATGCCGACAATCACTACGTCTCGGCTTCAGCGCCCCACTACTAAATTGTTTTTCTCCACTCATGGCTGAGGCGTACGCATATAAAGAGGTTTTATCATGGTTAAGAGGACGTGGCGAAGATTCAATACGGCTACATACTGACTGCCAGACGCTACAACGCTACCTATGCGCACTGAATACCCCGTCCAGGTCGTATGTTGGATATGCTATCGATAGTTGCAGGAATTTTATGTTACTTTAAGTTTTTGCTCAGTCAATGTTGTTCCTAGACTACAGAATTTATTAGCACATACTTTAGTCACTTTAGCTTTAAATTCGGCTAAATACTGGGACGATGTCCAACCAGACTCTATTTCAGTTTGTCTATAAATACAACCACATTGGTTGACCTTCAAAAAAAATTTGTTAGGATGAAGTGCTTACCACTCACACCAAAAGCTATAGCTAGTAGTGAAGGGATAATTTATTTTCTTACTTATAAATCGTTATTACATTGTTGAGTATTGGACTTGGTCCTTTAGGATTGTATTGTTAAAGTGGGCTAAAGTCTGTAGGCTAGCCCGCACCCTCCCCGCAGTGGGTGGGTTAGAGTCATAAAAAAATAGGCCTGCGAAAATGTGAGTATAACAAGTTGGCGAAATTGACCCGCAGCCCGCGAGTTAAACCCATAAATAAATAAATAAATAAATAAATATATATATATATATATATATATATATATATATAATTGTTATTTTACTTTTTCAACAAAAAAATTAATATTATTTGTAGACTTTAATTATTTTTTGAATTTTGAATTAATATTATTTTTTATTAGATTTTATTTATTTTTTAAATTTTGAATTCAACTAATTTTATTTAAAAAAAAAAAAAAAAAAAAAAACTCTATGGGCCCCTTCAACCCGCACAAGATGGACTAGGGTTACATGAACCCTAGCCTGCGGGTTAGCCTACTAAAAATTAAGTCCGCAATGGAGCGGGTCAACCCGATTTAACAGTATTACTTTAGGAATTTTATCGACCTCTGCCAAACATTTTTGATAAAAAGCTATGAATTTAAGATGCAATTTAAAAAAAAAAATATTTATGTTAGTATTGACATGTAATAAATCTTAGTATTTTCCGTGAGTTGCGCAGTACTTGGTTCTTGACTCAAACGTGGAGAGGGGACAAAGGCTCTTGATTAGCAATCATCCTCTTCAACTAACCACATACTTAATCACTTCTTCCATTCTCCTGTCCACATTTCCCCTAAAAGAAAAACTTTGACTAAAAAGATTTCAAATTCAAATCTTGGGTCATGATTCATATTTCAATATAAATAATATAACCCAATAACGTAACTTAACAGTTATCTGGTAGGGATGTGACACGTTAAGGAGTTTTGAACTCAACACTCTTCGTGCAAGAATCAAATATGGTAAATACGACCCAAATAGGATCAAGATTAGTCTCATATTAATGGAGATACTGGATGTTGTATACCAAAAAAAAAAAAAAAAAAAGAAGTAATAGAAGGTTAGAAATTTTCATTTTTCTTCTTCTCCCAAAAGGTTGAATCCCCAACTCTAAGGGTCCCCCACACCTCGGCTCGACAAAGCATCTGAGAGGATGTAAATCACGATGACTCGATCAACAAACAGGGTCAAATGCCGTTGCGCACAAGGAATCCGCCCACTTTGATATCTTCTCCCAAATATACTATAATATAAATAGTATAACCCAATAACATAACTCAACAGTTCGAACCTTGGTCTCTTCCATTGAACTAAACTCGTGTGGACATAAATTTTTATTTTTGTGCACATGCATTGTTAAAGAGTTTTGGGGCAAGTCTTAATTCCTCAAATGAAAGTCAAATCAGCAGGCAAGTAGGAACGTCAAGATGTCGTGTGTATAAAAAGTGAGTGTAAATTAGCCTCATACTAGTTAACATACAAGATGCCGTGTGTGAAAAAAAAAAAAAAAAAAAGTATTGTATTAGCAAGGTCAGATCAAAGAATTAATTACTATAAGTATGCCCTAAATTTTCTTCAGAGTAAGAATCAAACTTTGACGGTGTGACTTAGACCGAATTCAATTTAATTCTATAGTGATAAACAAATTAAATTAACTCTAAACACACATGCAAATCTTGAAAACATACTAATATATGCATACTATCAAATAGTAATGTGATTATGAATCCAAATGGAAAAGTTGTAATCTTTTGTGTGTGTGGGAGCTATTGTATTATAGATATAACTTTTGGTATACGACTTAGGTTGGGGAAGTGTGGGGCAAATATATGGTTACAGTCGATAATCAAAACAAGAGTAAAAATCAAATTACTTATAATATATATAATCAGATGATAATGTTAGGGTTGATGGGATGTCTCTTTTGTGACAATCTAAACATTGTTGTCAACCAGCCACCACCAAACCACAAACCCTAAACCTGTCTCATCTCTTCTTTTTCTTCAAACGTTGTTCTTCAATTCCACCTCACCAACACCCAACTTTTTGTTTTAAAATCTAATCCTAACTTTAAAGAGCATCACTTTTAATTTGCCTGAAATGGGTGGTCGAGTGGGTAGTGCATGATTCTCGTATCTAAATGTCATAAGTTTGATTCTTGCCAACACAATCTCGATCGAATCTGTCATAGAGAGTCATCCAAACAAAAAAGAGATCAGAACTACATTTGTAGAAGCGTCGAACACAAACTCAGTAAGAGAGTAGGCTTCACGGGACAGGGGCGGCATAACTCAAATTAATAAAGGTGTAAAAGTGAGAGTGAGGTAAATCTAGATTAGCAGACGGGGTACATATAATATAAATTCTTAATTTTATGTAAATTTAACTCATTCAAGCAAAAAAAAAAAAAAAAAAAAAAAAAAAAAAAACGAATTATACACATTTATTTCAAATAAAATTAAAGAATTTCAGAATTTGTATGAATTAAATATTTTATAATCACTCTATCTCCATCTTCTATGCCGCGAATGATGACTGATTAGTGATGTCTGCCACCACATTAAGAGTTTTATATATAATCATTTTATATATTCCATTATTCTCAGATACAACTAAATTATTACTTACAGGTCATTACTTTGTTAGGTTGTATTTAATTACATTTTATTTTATTTCTTAATTCTTTGCTAAACCATCATGTTTACATGTTTAGTGATCTCCAAAATGATGAGAAATTTGTTCTTTAAAAAAAATGTCTATATACATAGTACCAAATTAACAAATATTACTTTTTTCTTCTACAAACTGCTATTTTCTTTTCAACCATAATTGTCTATATAAGAACAAGAAATCAATTCCAACATGTACAAAAGACAAATGTCCTTAATTTTTTAAAGAATTTTTTTACAGATAATTTTATTTAATCCAGGCGTTTAAGCAATCAACCATTTTGACTGATAGATTGTTAAGCAAACACCTCAATATGACACATTTTAATTGGGTGATAGTCAAATAAATTTATTTTAATTTGACAATTAAGTAAATTAATTAAAATACGTCATTGTTTGGTGGAATTTGTAATGTTTGAAATTTGAATATGTCTAATACTAGTACTATTCAAGAGTTTTGGTTTAATAATATGATTAAAATTTAATGCATTTTGACCAAATATTTAAAAATAAAATTGTCCAAATTCCAATATTGATTTAATCATTAATAACAAATTAATTCTTATCTCTATAGTATTGTTACACACTAAAAACACAAAATTTAATTTACACATAAGCAGGTTTAATTGGGGTTTTGCAGATTTTTTTCATCACTCGTACACAAAATTTACATAGGTTGATAGTAGCAAACTAGCAATATTTGTTATCGATATTGTATAATTACAGACCAAAAAAAATGTTAAATAATGAAATAAAAAGGGAAATATAAGAAGAAAAAAGAGGATTTTTTTTTTTGGGAAGGAAATTAATGAAAGTAGATTTAGTTAAGGTATTTTTACAGTTTGTAGATAATAAGGAAGCAGGGTATTACGGCACGTGAATCAAATACTAGCAACTCGCCACTGTCTCCACTCACTGAGTCGAACCCAACTCGCCCTTCTAGTAACGAGTTGATCCCGAATTCCTTACAAACCCGACCCGCTATGACCCGACACACCAGCATGGCCCTCCTCCCCCTCCCGCCGCCGGATCTTTCATGCGCGTCGCCGCTGCCGGCGAATGTGCAAATGGCCGTCCCTTTGCCGGGGTGCAGCCCCCACGCGGTGCCGCCGGTTTCGTACACGGCGGCGGTGGGACCCAGGCAGTAAAATCTCATCACCTCATTCCCGTCCGCCACGCACCGTGCATGGTCTTCCCGGCCGTCAACCGGCGCGGCGCCTCCGGCCCGCTTTTTCACCGCCTCCCGGTACTCCTCGAACCGGGTCCCGGTCCGGGGCAAGTTCTGGACCTTGAACAGCATCTCGACCCGGCCGGAGAAGCTCTTCGGCGACCAGCTCGTGTGGAAGATGATCTCGACGACGTTGCGCGAAGGGTGGCCCTCCGGCAGCTCCGTCAGCGTCGGGTAGAAGGCGGACTCCGACGAGGAACGCGCATGCCTCGCGGCGGCGGCGGAGCTGGACCGGGGTCTCTGAACCGG